TTATTTAAATTTATTTCTTAATAAGTTTCACCAAAATTTATGTCATCTGATCAGTTTTTGAGACGATATTTCGAAAGTCATCCTTGATGCACATGTGAAAGCTGATTGGCATCTTTTAAAGCGGTTAAGGAAATGAGTTAATTAATTATGTTGCGTAAGTCGACAGCTAATTTAGCAAGACTTTCAAAATTATTTGCTAATTTAACGATGTCTGCTTATCAAATTGAGACATTTTTGATGGAAATGGACATGCTTTGATATTAATTAATGTTGATAATATACATAAAATTTTAATTTTCTGATAGATTGATAAGACATTCGTTTGCATAATGAATTTAAAGTTTGTTTGTGTCTCTTAACTGAGTCGTGTTACTGACTCGATTATCAGCTCTAATGGCAAATTCTTTAGATTGTCATGAGTTCAGAGCTTATATTGTTCCGATTCTGTTCATACTAAACAAGTAGTTTATGTTAACACTTGAGCTGAATTTCGAACAATTTCCTTCAAGCTTGTTAATTGTTCTCTACTAGCCCTGTTTTACTTTTGTCTCAGTGCTGTCCTAGTCTTGTCCTAGGCTTGCTCAAGTTAGCTCAAGTCTTGTCCTAGTTAAGTCCCAATGCTAGCAAATAGAAATTTTTAAGTTCTTATTATTCGAACTTCGAATTTTTGAGGTTCTTATTTTTCGAAAATCGAATTTTCAAAGTTCTTATTTTTAAAAAAATTCGTTGTGAATTATTATTTTTCGAGTAATTTGTAATTTTAGTGAACATTCCTACTAGTTTTTATGATTAAGATAATCACTGTGAGGAAATTGCATTCCTTAAATGTTTATGCTTTAAAAAACAGCTAGTTTAAAAAAAATAAAAAGTAACGGACTTTCTTATTTTGAAATTTTAAAAAAAACCGCGCGAAAATTTTGAAATTTTTTTGTTTGTAACGGACTCTGTTCTCTTTGCTAACATTGGGTTAAGTCTAGACCTGGTTTAGACCTAGTGTAAACCTAGTCTAGACCTAGTCTTCTCCTAGTCTTGTTAAAGTTTTGTTATAGTCTTGTCATGGTCCAATCGCTATCCATACCCTGTCACAGGTAATGAGCTAGTGTTCCTTTATCTTTGAAAAATGCTCTAAATGTCTAAATTCAAAATATTTAACGTAAAATGCTAAATTTCAACCAACATTTTCACAAATTTCCTCCCACAATTTCTGTGGCTCTACAAAAAAAAAACCCGGAAGATAGTGGATTTCCAAGCAACATGCCACACGACACAAAAATTCCTCCTAGCGGTTTCCTTTCTTTCCGCTTAGAATATTAACATAATTATTATTTCTCGCACCATCAGAAGGAATTTACTGAAAATATTTTCATTAGATTTTTCATTTTGCCTTATGGCCCACATTCCCTCTTATCAGGGGCGTAGCCAGAAAATTTTTAAGGGGGGGGCCCATTTTCGAAAATAAAAAAAACCGTTATTTTGTATCATTAAATCTATATTCATTCGTCATAAGTTTAAATATTTAATTCATTATTCATGCATTAAATTTAATTTTTCGTGCTGATTTTGACATTTCTTTCATCACTTCCTCTACATTAACTGGTTCTTCTCTATAAATACTTAATAAAACAATTATCAGATTTTCGTAGGGGGGGCCCGGGCCCCCTATGGCCCCCCCCTGGCTACGCCCCTGCCTCTTATTCAATTTTTTTTGTTCTTCTTCCGACATTCATTTATTCTTATTGTTATGTGTGGAGTAGACATCGAAAGCCTCGACTACTATTGTATGATAATATTATGATGGTTAATGAAGGCAAAGCTATGGGGAGAGGAAAAAGATTCACTTCCATTGACAGTCTTTGAGTAAATAATCATTTTCCCTTCTAATTGCCAGTTTTCATCTCTCTTTTCGTCCATATACTGCCTCATTTTTGCCTCGCTCACTCAATTTTTACGCACACCGACTTTTCATTTCATTGCTTTCATTAGCTTTGGACGATAAATTGTGGCGAACTTAATGTGAATGAATGACAATTTTTTGTTCTTTTTTGTTCGATTCCTAGTTTTTTTGCTAGCTACTGTTGTTTCCATTCTATCATCAAGCACAATCATCACCAACAACACTTTATCTGTACATTCATTGTGTGTTTCTATTTATAGGACTTATAATGGAGGCAAGGGTTTATGGAAAGTTGATAATGTCATGCTGATGTGGCTAATGAAGGCATTTATGATGAATGTTATTTGAAAAAGGCTTTAAATAATTTTTTACAAATTTTTTGGGATATGATGGGCAAAAGGGAAATGTAGATAGAGACTTATTCGATTTTTTTGAAGGGGGGGGGGGGGGGGGGGGAGGGTAAAGTACAAAGTATACCAACTTTATCTGAATTCTTGAAATTTTGAATTATATCTCAAGCTTTAATCAATTCTCAAGGGGATAACAACATGTTGGATAATATTTCTTATTACTACTAACTTCTTACCTTTTAGAAAATATAGGATTGAATCCTATAGGAAATTTATAATCATACCTTTGAGTGCTAGCGGCAAGCAACATGATGAGGAAAAGTTTTGATGTCAAAATTCGACTAAACTCTCAATTTACGTTAGGAAAAAAATATTCAAATCTTTTCCTCATCAAGTTGTTATCCCCTTGTTCATACAAAACTGTCAAATCAGTAAACCATTTCATCCATTTCCTGCTTGTATATAAAAGTTGTCTATAAATTATGCTTTTCAATCCTTGCGTTGGCGATCCCGGATTTAAGAGAAAAATTCAAATCATTATGACATTGTGCTACACTCACAGCCGCCTTTCAAGTGAGTCATTAAATGTTTGCTTTTTACCACATTCTTTTTTTTTATTGAGTGGATAATGGAAACAGCCACATAATTATTATGATGATACTTTTTTTTCTGTCAAGATGGAAATTCCGTCCGGCTTGTTTATATGAATTGCACAATCACATTTGATGATGAGACTGAAAGTGATTGGTGAATGTAAATATGGCAGCAAGGTGATTTGTGAGGATTCCCAGACGATTCTGAAGCATAATTTGCCTTTTACATCCGGTAAGCATGCAACTTTTTAATTTTAATGAGCTGGAACTTTTTATGCTCATTTACATTTTCTGATAAATAATTCTACTGTCGTTGATTTGACCCATAAAATATTTCAAAAAGCTCAACTTGACATTTTGCCTTAAAATAAGAAGAAACTTTAATTGGCTCATGCTTTGACGATGTCAATAATTTAAGCCTTTTTTTGTCGTCTTTTTGTCCAAAAAATACATTCTGTTTGGTATGCGGTTTAAAAATAATTTAAAACATTTTTTTCGGGTGTCTTTTAATTTGCATTCGATGGCGAAACGGATCTAAAGTCGAAGATTTTTATCAAATTAACAATGCCAGTTGATGCTGTTATTGATTTTTGGTGCATATGGACTGAATATTTTGTAATTATCATAAATATTTTGCTCTATCTTAGTCTGGTTATCTTAGGTTAGGTAAGCAGCCTCTCACATTTAGCAATAATCTGGTCATTTGTGGTGCAGAAATTCAAATGGAAATGAGGCAGAAATATTATTAAATCTGATAAATGAAGCAGCAACAAAAAAAACTGTAGTCAAATTAATTCCCAGCACGAAACGCAATAAAATAAAGCTTGAAATAGTTGCAACAATATCATTCTATGTACGGAATAATAAATCATTTTTAATAGCTAGTCAAGTGAAGATATCATACAGTTTAAGGCCCATAAATTTTGTCATAATTGATGTAAGATTGCCATCAGATATTTTTTTTCTTTTGTGAAAATTCAAGGTATTAAAATGAAATATTGGAAGTGGTGTTGTTGCAAATTCTGTTAGAATTTTTCTATTAATTAATTAATAAGAATGTAAATTAGGTATGCATAATGAATGTGTTGTATTCATATCGGAAAACTTAATATTTTTTATGCTGATTATTTGCATGGTTGTGAATTGATGTGATTTAATGGATAATTTTGTCATGTTTCTAGGATTATTGAAGATTGATTGAGATTGTATTTGATTTTAGGGTCTTGAAGTTAAATAAAAGTTGGATTTAAGTACTAAGGGTTCAAGGAGGTCAGAAGACTTCTTTTATAATTGAAAAAGTTTGAAAATTTTTTTTGAACCCTCCTTTTAAAATAGTTAAACAGACCCTGATTTTTTTGTTTGCTTTGTAGAAGGTATTGATCTTAAAAAACCGAATAATGAATTTTCTGTTTGAAAAACTTATGAATTTCACACAATTTTCAAATTGGCCGTCCCTAGTATATTAAACTAGATTATCAAACCTATCTGGAATTAAAAACAAGCCTAATTAAGCTGTAGAAATCCAGGTTGTAGGGGGGAGGGGATGTTAAAGAGATTAAACTCTATAAATTTTAATTTTATCATTCCATATCCTGTTCAAGGGTGTGGTACTGAAAAAATGATCAAAAATTATCAAATGATCAAATGGTTTTCTTCAGTTACACACCCTTGATCTTGTTATTAAACTAATAAATGTACGACTCTTAAATTAATCTTACATTGTTGATGGGAATTTGTTAAATAATTAAGACTTGCGATAACTTGAGGAATAAGTTGAACTATCCAAATTGAATCGTTGATTTATGACGTTCAATATTAACGGTCATTTTTCAAAAAAGAATGGAATTCCTGGAATTTCTTGGCGTCGTAAGTGAATCCAAAAAATACCAATAAAATTCATGAAAAAAAAGATTTTAAAAAAATCTTCAAAAAATTTCACTTCATTCAAGATAATTCAATAAGCACGTGTAACTAGAAGTCCGCATGAATTTCAAAAGGTTTCAAAAAGCAAAATTGAGTTTCCAATCCGCTTCACTGAGTTTCTGGTAATTATTTCACAAAGCACAGCTTCCAAAAAAATTTATAAGACTTATTTTTTCACATAAATTCCTTTTCAAAATCATCAAATTTTGATTCCTTTAACATTAAATAAAGTTCACCTACCGCTTTCATTTTTTGTTCCTTATAGTTTGTAATCCACTTAGTTGAGATATTTTTTTTTTCTTAAAGTCTTTTTGAAATTAATTTTTCAACAGCACACAAATTTTTTTTATTATTCTTTCTACTTCCTTTGCCTTTCTTTGATCATAATAACGTTAAAGAATTCTTTTCTCACTTCTCGTTTTCTTATTTTTTTTTTTCACTTTTACTTTCGTTTTCTTTTTCTTGATTCTTTTCCGTTTCTGTGAGAATTTTTCAGGGTTTGAGGAATTCCACTGTTATTTTTTTTTCTTTAATTTCACAGTAACTTAATTTTTATTGTTCCTCAAAAATTATCCACTGAATTTTTAACGTCCATTCCACGCGATGTGTGCGATGAAAGTGAAGACAGACCCGGTTTCAAAAAAAAAAAGTCTTCAGGAATTGGGAAAAGAAAGACAAAAAATTTTTTTCGCTGAGAGCAAAAAAAGAGAAAAAAAAAATTGATAAAGAAATTTTTGTGGACAGGCACCTGACTAGTTTCACTATAATTTGATAAATGCCTTCTTAATTTGAATGTACATATGTTATTATACGAAAGAGAAACAAAAATGTATTTTTTTGGACTTCTCGCAGCACCGAAGAGACACTTGTGAATATTTTTTTATATTTTTCATTGTTGAAATCTCCCTTCCTTCCTACTTTGCCAGTGAACATGAATGTGTAGCTATACACAAATATGAATATAAAAGTTTGAGCTGGTTAACCATCTCAATTTCACCTTCACATCCACACAGCACCGCTTAAGACATTTTTTTTCTTTATTTCCAATGTTATGCTTGCCTTTTTTTGGGTTTTTTAAATGCTCAAGCTTGAAACATGAATGAAAATGAAACGAGATATGTGTTAAACTCTTTTTTTTTAGTAAGCTGAGCACCAATATGTACACAAACTCGAAATTTCGTTTTCATTTCTTTCTTCTCTTCTCATTTCTCTGTTATACCGTCATATTAATGCTGACATCATCAAATAGCGATGTGGTAAACTGGTAAATGTCTGGGAAATATTTTTTTTAGTCGAGGTATGTAATAAGACTCAATTATAGATGAGGCGGAAGCTGAGACGCATTTTTGACGGTTATTGTTGATTGATTTGAGCTGAATTATTGAATAGCTTTGGTCTATTTATGCTTCAAATTTAGATAATGGACAACTTTAGACAGCTTTAGACAATAGCACAGTTGTTTTAAAATAATATGGATTATGGAATAGTTTAATTTAAGAACTCCTTCCCAACTTGTTCTACACACTAAAATCTTTTGCTTTTATTACAAAGTTAAGTGCTGAAAATTGACAGATTCTGTTATCGACTAACGCCACAGTGAAGCCTGTACATACATCGCTGGTTTACAGATCAGTTGTGATCCATAGCCTCCGTTATTTGGCATTTAAAAAAGACTCTGTCACTGGTTACTCTCTGCCAATCGCCAATACCAAATGCAATGCTCTCTTTTTCAAGAGCTTCCTACCAAGAACGTGACATCAGTGAAGCAGGTAACTCCATCAATTCATACATTTTGTGCATAGACGTTCAATGATCAAGAATAACTGTCGAACTGATAGCTTTTCGATTCAATAGTTTCAGTAAACCAGCACTTCGTCATGTCTTTCAAAAGTAAGTTCTTACTTAAAGCATTGTAAAGTAAAGTTGTGATTCATGAATGCATAGCAGGAGAAGAAAGGGCGACCATCAGTGGTGTAGACAGACATTTTTTATGAAGGTTCAAAAAATTACTTTTTTTCAACCCACAAGTTGCTCACTAGCTGATAAAAGTTCAAAATTCCAAGTCTTAAGTCCCATCCTCACTATATTTCCAACTCCGTACCTTCTTAACCATAGAAAAAATAATCACAAAAGACATTATTTCATTCCCTACTTGATATCACTCTAGACCACAAGAAGCAGAAAGAAGCGACAAGAAGGGAAAAATTGTTGACTTGTCGCCCACTCGAGTGTGCACTTTGTTACGCTTTAATCTCAACCGGAATCTGTGAAATGTGTATATAAATCTTCTCTCATTTCTTTTTTTTGTGTGTGCTTCTGCTTCTTTTCTCCTCTCGAAATGGAATAAGAAAAAAAAAATCTTATGAGCACAACTACAACTATCATTATGCTCTTGGCTAGATGAAGAAAAATTGCATAACAACCATTTTATTTATTATGTTTCTTGTCTATGACACTTATTTTTTATTCTTCTATTTTGCCTTCTTTTCCATTCACCTCTCTTACATGTTTTCATTATTCTTGCTGATGTCAAGCGAAATATTTTGTCAGATTTTTATTATGTTCTGGATTTTTTTTGAGGTGGAATTAATGAATTATTAAAAAAATGAGCTTATTAAAGATTTGTATTTAGTTATTGAAATTTATGAGATATTATGTAGCTGCTTAAAATATTCAATTATGGAGATGTCATTTTAAATTTGACTAATGATGCATGCAGATGAGTTTACGGGAAGTGAGATTTTTTTTGAGGTGCTTAAACATAATTATGCACAAAGTCTCAAATGATGATTACAAGTGCTTAAAATCAGGGTCGAGACATAAAGGTTTTTTTGACAGGGGTGTAGTCAGGGTTTCGTTTTTGGGTCCAAAACCCTGCCTTTTTAGATTATTTATTTAACTTTCGTCTGAAGATATCCGGTCATTATTCAAAATCAACCATCTAAAATTCCAAGAAATTCCAAGCTGTTCTACAGCTCTTTAGCCTACACTCTCATGACGTCACTCATGGGAATGGGATTTGATTTCAGTGAAGGCAGTGACATCCATTGGGAAGGAACACGAAGATCAGAATATATGCTGATTTCGTGTTGATCTAATTGATTCCGTTTGGTCTCCTCCGGCTGAAATTCCCAGACTGTTAAGCATCAGGTCCCCGATAATATGCCTGACCATCTGCTTTGGTTTTTAGAGGACAGTCCTCGATTTTTTTCATTTTTCAAAAATAAAATAGTTTTGCTTTGTTCAAATTCGTCCAGAAAACGAAAAAAATTGGGAGACACGTGAGATGTCCATTATTTTACTTTCAGGTCCTCTTTTTAAAAAAAAATATCTGGTCACCCTCTCGATAATCTACCCATTGCGAAGTCCCTGACCTAGACCCTTCGGTCATAGCTTCAACAATGTTCAAAAAACGATCAGGAAGTAAAAAAGTTCCCATCAAAAATTTGCATGTTTAAAATCGTGATTCTCACCATGATAGATTTTTAATACTCTTCAAAGTCCAAAAAAAAATCTTCTTGTCTTGCCAAAAAAAAAATACTTAATAGCATCTCAAACCCAACATAGTTGCAGATTTCATCAAGAAATATCTGACAAGTTCGCATAAAAGCCTCAAGAGAAATGAAAATTTCCATAAATTTGTCAAAACTCCACCATAAGGAATAAAATAAAAAAAAACTCACAAGATGAATCTCAAGTATTAAGACGTGCTTACATGTCATTTCCAATTAATACAGTATAATAGATGAAGTGTACAGAATGACAGAGAAAGTGGTTGATGATAAAAAAAATTGCTCACATGACAGTAAATCCCTTTAAATCTTCCATGCACACACGAAACTATACAGAAGAAAAAAAAAATTATGGTACGTGCATTTCATATTCCTCCTTATTATTTTTATCACATCCAAAATATTGTCAAGCAATAGCCTCGCTCATATCATACAATGTAAATCTTGTCTTGGATGTACACACACTTTTTAAGGGGATGTGCACTAATGTGTCAGAGAAATTTTAAGGCAATGTTCCGCGAAATGAACGAAGAAGAAGAAGAAGAAAACTGGAAGATTTCTCTCCTTTACACATGTTAATGATTAAGAGCAATTACGGAATGGGAGACAAAAGAGAAATGAAATTTGTGGAATGTGAGATGTGTTTTGTGTTTTATTGTACAAATATCATTGATTTATTAGTAATTTGATAATTTTCATTAATTTATGTTGGAAACACCATAGGATATGTTCATACAATAGAAATGCATTCAAACCGGATATTTTGGAATGAGTTTTCGTTCACAGTTTGATGATTCTTTGGGAATTGAGGAACAATTATGAAGAATGTTGGCAATTTTAGTTCAGAAGTTCATGTCAGTGAGAAGTTCGAGAGTGCCATGAGTATCTGTGTGATATGGATGGACTTACTTTAAACAATAGTATCGATTTGAGCGGGTTTTGAGAAGAGATTTAGATCCCTTTAGACCAGTGTTGGCCAATCTGTGTGCCGTGGCACATTGGTGTACCCTAGGACATCCTTAAGTGTGCCGTGGAATTTGTAGCTTTCACACAACATAAATTGGGATGAAAAAAATTATGATTTTTAAAGAAAAATTTATGGGTGTGCCGTAGCTGAAAAAAGTTTAATATACACTGTTTTAGACCAGTGTTGGCCAACCTTTTTTGTGCCACTACACAGCTGATAGTAAGCAATCGTTGCACAATACAAAATTTTTATAGTACGCAAGTGGGCCGCAGCACACGGGTTGGTCATTACTGCTATAGACCACTGGTCTTTTATATTTTATTCGAACTAAGCGGCACATAAAAGTAATAATAGCAGTCATATGGCATCTACATGAGAATAAAACATGCATTTTGGTTCAGAGACCCTCAGATAGACCAAGAAACCAGACGAAAGACTGAATTATTTCGAGAATATTCTCTCGAAAAATGCAAAGAATTTTGGAACAAAACAAAAAAAAAACAAATTCAGATCAAAATCTATCCCCTACTCATTCATAAAAGTTGATATGCTAACATGAGTCTAGACTTCGAAACAGCTTTGATGATACAACAACTTCTAATATTTCTCATATACATAAAACAAGGTGTCGAGAGCTAAAATATGTATATACCCAGAGACAGTTCTTTTGATGTATCTCATGTATCTACTGCTGCTTGTTTTGCAATCAAATTTATTTCAAAAGAAAAAAAGAGAATATGTTAGAAAGACAAAAGAGATTCATTCACACTTGATGCTTGTAGCATGATGCTACTTTTCATCATGTTTGTACGACTTTGTTTGATGTTGCAACATTTTGATGCTCTCGGGTGGATGAAGGAGGGTGTTGATGAAAAGTTAAGGAGGTTTTGATATTATTTAATTGAGTTAATTTTATTTTATAGCACCTAGCTGGATGTCGACTGTTTTTAATTGATGCTTGTCTCGAGAACTAATGGCTAATTAGCTCAGTATAAATTCTGATACAGGAGGTCTTCTGAAAGATATTTAATGAAGGTGTCGAAACTGATCGTCTTTCTTACATCTTATATCAGTGGTTCTCAAACTGTATGCCGCGAAAAAATGGACTGTTTAAATTAACTCTTTGTTTTCATGTTTTATGACTTCAAAAAGTTCATGAAAATAATTTAAAGAGCCGTACCGCGAAAATTTTTGTTTAAAAAATGTGCCATGCACCAAAA